CCACAGAACACAACAGCCCATGTGATCAAGCCCTACCCAGCAGCCCATGTGATCAACCACAGGCTGCAATTTTCCATGGTGAAGAAAGAAGGGACAAGGGAGCCTGTGCCTTCTATTAACTGCAGAGGCCGAGAGGCATTCAAAAAGAGGTTTTAAACCCGGGTTTCCCAATTTATCCTTGCTGTCGCTGGCTAGTTCCAACTCTCCTTTCTCCTTATCTAGACTATAGCAATCGCTTCCCAATCAGTGCTTCTTCTTCCAGGATCCTTATTTTCCTCGATTCTTTCTTCTCATGGATGTGAAATGATGGCAGTTACTACTCTACTCTCCCTTAAGCTATAAAGTAATATTTGCTTACAGTGTTGAAATGGAAAGGAAAGACTAAAGCATCCCTTTAGTACCCCCACCACCATCATTTCTTTCCTCATTTGCTTCTGAGGGCCAGAAGCAACTGAGAGAAGCAGAGAGGGTAAGATAAAAGGGAATACATTGAGGAATAACTAGGAATTCTATGAGAGCCTCTCCTAAAAGCATTCAAATTTAAGTGAAAAAACAACAACAATTAAACAAATCTTCCTGCAGACTAAATTTGTTCCCGGGCTGCCAATTTGCCCCACCTAGATCTTTCCAGCATTTCGAGTATATATACAACTGTATCAATATTACAGATGTAAATATAGATGTTTAAATACATGGCACATATGTGTTAGACAACTAGGATTACAATATACATACTATTTTGAACTTTGCTTTTTCATGTAACATTGAGACACTTTACACGTCAGACAACCTCATCACTAGCACTCTGTAGATGGACATTTAGGTGGATTCCAGTTTGAATTTTTTTTTTCAAAGAATACAGCATTGTTTGTTCTTAGACATGTGTCAGGGAGTATGCAGGATAAATGTGACACAGCGGGATAGCTGGATCAAGTTTGATAGCTATTGCCAAAATGCCTTCCCCCAAAGTTACATCTATTTAATTCTACCAACAGTGTTCCTCTGTTTAATTCTGAACTTTTTCTCTCTATATATGTTTTATTAGTTATTCACATCAGAATAGCTGCCCTCTTGTCACCGGTCCAGAGTGAACTACCCACAGAAAGTTTCTTTACTCTGTTTATTGAAGAAGTGGAGGAACATAAATATGTTTTGCCTACATAAAGTTAATGGCCTGTAGTAAAGAATGTAGACTTTTAAGCAGCCTTCCAGGTCATCTGGCTTAGGAAACACTGAGTTAGTGTGCTAGACACGTGGCATGGGGCTGGAGGAAAAAGGTGGGCTTTCTTGGGCAGTGCCCGCCAAGTTGGGCCACAGCCCCACTGCCTACCCCTTCTCTCTTGCTCAATGTACACATCACCAAGTCTGTGCTCCTCTGTTTCTCCTCTGCTAGAGAGGCACTGGAGCCTGGGGAATGGGAATGTGCCTTTCCCTCCTGGAGTCTGAACACCCTAGTTGGACTTCTGGGTGAGGCCAGAACTTTCTTTGAGTACTGGGCCATATCTTCATAAGCTTCAGAGACCTCTTCCCCCCATTCCCCATTCTCATATCATCTTAGTGAAAGCCTTGCTCTTCTGCCCAGCGGCCCCCTTCCCCCAACCACCAGAGGCAAAGGAGTGCTTGAAACTGTGGAAACTTTAAACATTGCGGATTTTAAGACATAAAGCCTTCCGTCGTAAAAGATTTGCCAACAAAGTGTTTCTGAAAAAGTTAGGTTGGTTGTGTTGCTCTGGTTCTAGCAAGGTGCTCACTCTGCAGTTGTGGGATCTCTGGGTGCCGTCTTGCTTCCCTGCCACTCTCCCTGTTCCCTGGCAGACCCTGTCCCCTTGGAGTGCCCACAGAATTTTGATCATGCTGAATTACATCATGTATCACATTGCTTTTTGTCAGCTTATGTGTTTATCTCTACCACTGGATTGCAAGCTACTTGAAGTTCTTAATAAGAACAGCGGCAGCAATAACAAAGGGCTTCCTGCGTGCCGGGCACTCCACCAAGCGCTTTACACATATTAACTCATTTAGACCTCACACATCCCTCACAATATCTTGGCATCTTCATCTCTCACAACTCATTAAACATTCTATGGTGTCTTTCAATTTAGATCTCTCTTCTTCAGAAGGAGTTTTTAAGAAAAATCTACTACCATTGGTGATATATCAATCTCTAAGCAAAAACACTCAAAACATTCATATATAAGAACAGATTATATGGGATAAGAGTGGGCTAGTTTTCCTATTTAGCCTGACATCAAGAGTATTTATTTGGCTTTCTATACCATTAGTTTAAGTTAGAACACTATTTCCATCCACTAGAGTAGAACAGCTATGTATTTTTCTTTTAAAAGATAAATTAACTCTGTAAGCATTAATACTTTAAAAAATGACTAGCGGTTTTTCAAATATTTTAGTTCTACCAAACTGATGAATAGATAAACATGAACAGATAGATCTAGATTCAAATCTTGATTCCACAATTTTCCAGTTCTGCAACCCTGGGCAAGCTCCTTAATCTTACAAAGCCTCAGTTTTCTCATTAGTAAAATTTGGATAATACTAGTTCAGGGTAAGCATCAGAAGTAAAAAATGTACATATAAGAAATTCAGCACAGCATCTGGCACAAAGTGATTAACAAATGTTTGCTCTTACTCATTCTTATCATCATTATTACAAAATGTTGGGCTGAGCTGGGCATGGTGGTGCATGCCTGCAATACCAGGTATTCGAGAGGCTGGAGCAGGAGGATTTCTTGAGCTTAGGAGTTTGAGGCTGCAGTGAGCTATGATCACACCACTGCACCCAACCTGGGAGACAAGATGAGATCTCTTGTCTATAAAAATAAAATTAGAATGTTGGGTTGCAAAAGTTATATAGAAATGAATAAGATGGTGTCCTTGTCTTTGAGAAGCTCAGCTCTGTCGTAGGAGAAACAAGAGAGGCCTGCAAACATTATCAGAAGACAAAGCAATAAGGCAACCGAGGGACAGAGACAGCGCAGAAGAGGGAGAGATTATTTCCATAGGAAAATTTCATGGAAGGTTTGCAAGAGGCTGTGAAAATTACGTTCACACTTTTGAAGAACGAACAGGAATTTCTTAGGTAGCCAAAGTGGGACAGTGATAGCTGGTTGTGGAGAACATGTAGAAAGGCACAGAGAAAGGAAAGCGCATGGTGTTTTGGGAGGAACTATAATTAGTAATGTTTGGTCAGATCATGAGGTTTTGGTGGGGGTAGGTAAGATGGGGGTGGTAAGACAGAAGATTCTAGAGGAAGGCAAGGCAAGGACCAGATTTTGAAGTTTTTGCATGCGGAGCTAAAGAGCTTGAATTTAGCTCCAGCAGTAGGGTGTCAGTAAAGAGTTTTAGAAGAGAGATGTGATCAGATTTGCATTTTAGAAAAATCACTTAGGCATGGGTGTGAATGATGGACTAGAAAGGTGGGATGGTGGCGACTTGGAAGCCAAGTAGGAGGCTGCAGTCCAGGTGACAGATGATGCCCCGAACAAAGGCAAATGGCATTCGGAATGGAGGGGAACAAGATGAATTCAAGAGGCCCTTGGGAGGTAAGATGAAAAGGATGGGGAGGAGGGAACTTGCTGGGATCTGCATCCAACGGTGCCCAACCCCTTGGCCTCATTCCATTGTGCAACAGGTGTTGGTGACAGTGTGTGGGAGACAGGGGCGGATGGAAGTGCATTAACCAAGATACAGACTAGAGAAGGAAGCATCAGTTCTGAGGACAGGGGTCAGTTTGCAGTGTGGGAAAGAGGAGGTAGAGAAAGGGTAGTGAATTTCACCTAGCCTGTGTTGAGTATGAGATGGCTGTGCCTGCCATGTGAAGAGTAGAAAGGCAATATATGGATCTAGAGCGCGGCGTAGAGGGAGGGCTGGAGATGGAGACTTGGGCATCTTTAGGGTAATTGCGCAATTAGGGGAATGGCTGAAATATGGCAGGCTCGCCAAAGAACTCTACTTAGTTAATAACTATGAAAATGTCACTTCTTTAGCCTTCGCTTTTATTACGTAAAAGTACTCAGATCAAGCTAGATACAATTTTTCTTCTCTTCATCCAATGCCGTAGGCTATTGCGGAAGCCACGGCCTGCCATTTCATACCCTTTGCAATAGGTGGCGCTGACGCCTGGCAGGGAGAAGGTGGCAGCACATGCTGGGCTGGGGGCTATGGTCTTGAGCGCGGAGCTGGCGACGCTCTAGCCCCGAGCCACGTATTCGCGGCCGGGTCCTCCCTGGTGACTGGGTGAAGGCCGAGAACCTCTGGCCTCAGGAAGCGCATGCGCAACCGGTTCCCCCAAACATGGAGTCCTGTAGCCCAGGTCTTACCTGAATCAGGTAAGAGGCGGGCGGGGAAGGAGTGGAGCCTCCCCTGCACCCTCGCAGCCCGCCTCAGGAGTGGGACTGCCCCCCTTGGGGGGTGTGGCTCGTGTGTGTGTGCCACACCAGTCCTGGGGCCAGGTAAGTGCGCGTGGCCCAGGAGGCGTGAGGCTGTGCTGGCGAGGGAAGCGCTCCGCGGGGCGCGTGGGTCCCTGCACGAGGTGCGCCGCCGCCGGCCCACAAGCGGGCCACGTGGGCGAGGGCCTTGATCGTTGTCTCCCAGCACCTCCGGGTCGACGAGAACACAAAAGTCACACAACCCTCGCCGAGGCTTGACCTCGCGACAGCGTTTAGTCATTCCGTTAGCTGGCTACACCCGCCCTCCTGAGCTTGAGGACTCGATTTCTTGGGAGGCTGCGCCTCCCCACCTGGGGGACAGCCAGCCTTGGAGGTAGGAAAGGTCGCAGGCACAAGGGTGTGACCGAGTGGTGGGGCAGCGGCTGTTCGGGGTCGGAGCTGCGGTGCTGGTCCCGGCACTGGGGTCGCGAGGGCGGAGAGCGGCAGTGGTGGCACGGTTGCCGGCCTAGGGTGCAGGGAGGGGGGATAGCTGAAGGTGTGAGGCGAGGAGAGCAATCGAGGAAAACGGAAGCACCTGCTCCTGGTTGACTCATCCTGGCTGGAGGCATCATCTAATGTTGGGAAAGGAGTAACGGGAAAAAAAAGCAAGCGAGAAAGAGCGACCGTGCTTATGCTTGGATCCCTTTCTTCCTCAGGCAGCTAGGAAATTGCCTGTCTAAAGAAAGTAGCTGTTTTCCTTAGGGGACTGTGGTGAGTGACAAATGAGATAATAAATGTGAAAGGGTAAAGAGCTATAAAAATGCAAGATTCTATTAGTTAATTAGAATCCTTCAGCCTATTTATCTGTTTGAGTGGATAAGATGTCCTCTAGGCGTGGTAGTGGCCCAGGAGTACCTGGTGAAGAAGTACCAGGTGTGGGATAATGGGATATGTGGAGTAATGCAGGAGGGGTATGAGGATAGTTTAGGGGTGCCCACTAATACTGTCACCTGGAGAAACAGCCATCTGTTATTTAGGGTCATCTTATTTGGATAAGAGATTATTCAGTTCCACTGCTTCCCTCTACCACTCATCTTTTACCACTCATCTTTTGAGCTTTTTTATAGCCAAAGACTTTTACCTGAAAATGAAGAGGAAGACACCAGTCGCTTCAGGAATATATTTGTTAATTATTATTATTATTATTATTTTGAGACAAAATCTCTCTCTGTTGCCGGGACTGGAATGCATTGGCACCATCTCGGCTCACTGCAACTTCTGCCTCCGGGCTCAAGCTAGCCTTCTCGAGTAGCTGGGACTACAGGCACACACCACCACACACTGCTAATTTTTGTATTTTTGGTAGAGACAGGTTTCACCATGTTTCACCATGTTGGTCTCGAACTCCCGACCTCAAGTGATCTGCCCACTTCAGGCTCCCAAAGTGCTGGGATTACAGGTGTGAGCCATTGTGCCTGGCCATATTGGTTAATTTGGTTGAGAGTCAGGTTTATGTGATTTAATTGATAATGTCTTCAATTTGTCTTGCCTTCAGCAGGAAGCAGCATGTTGTACAAAGGGTTCTGGGCTGAGGACATAACTAGGGAAGATTGATTTGTGGATTTGTCCCCTCAGTAGAGGATCACCTTGGTCAAGTTCCAGTTCATCTTGGAGCCTTATTTTACACCAGATGGGAAAAGACCTCACAGGTCATTCAGTCTTACATGCAGAGCTTGCATACCTGCAACAGGGTTCCCCAGCCCCCAGTGACAGGGAATTTGTCACATCCCCAAATCGCCAAGCCACCCAATCCCTCTAGACAGCCCCTACTGTTGGAAAATTCTTTATGTTGAATCGACATCTGTTTCTCTATAATTTGCACTCATTGGAGCCATACAGAATAAAATGTCTAATGCTGCTTCCACAAATATTTGAGGACTGCAAACACATTTCCTTCTTTTACTTACTCCACAAGGCTTCTTTTCTTCAAACTAAATAAACATGCCCAGCTATTTCAAACAGGGAGGCAGTGTGGAGTAGTGGAAAGAGGGCCAGCTTTGGAGCCAGGCACATCTGCGTTCAGTTCCCAGCCCCTTCACATCTAACACTCAGCGCTCCGAGCTGCTGTATCTCTCTGAAATCTGTGAGTGAAAATACTCGTCTAGCCAGGCTACTGTGAGGATTAGGGATATATTGGTTGAAGATCTGTGCTCATGGTAGGAGCTTAAAATATGAGAGCTGTTACACCTTTAGTTTGCAATTCATTTAGTTGGTCTTCTCTGAACACATTCCTATTTGTTTCTGTGTCTCAATATCTGTCTGCTCTGTAGAACAGAATAAAATGGTTTCTGTGAGTTCTAACTAGCAGAATAGAGAATTCACTTATTTTTGTACTTCCCCACAGTCTACAATCACAGTAGCCTTTTTAAGGGTCCTGTCACACTGATTCACTAAGTTTCTCAACCAAAACCCCTTCGTTCTTTAACATGTGTTTCTGTTCAACCAAGTTTCTCCCATACTGGTGTTTTATTTGATTTGAATCTATAATGATGGCTCTTGAAAGTGGCAGTCCCAGTTGTGGCTTGTTGTCTCCATAAATATCCCGCATTTGTCATATTATGGGTCTCAAACTGGGGTTAGAAAAATATGCTTATTGAATCCATGGTACCCTCCCTGCTGACCCCATACCACTGCTGTGCACAGCAAGATAATAAATGCAGAGCTTTCTATATGAATTTTTGCACAAATCTGAGGTCTTATTATAAGGCGGAACTGTGTTAGAATTGGAATGTGACAAGAATGTCTGATAAGCCACTGGCCGAGGGAATACTTCTGCATGAGATAGCTTGCACGGCCCAGGAGAGCAGCCGTCTGGAGGAACTGAAAGGGTGCCACTGCCAGCAAGCCAGAGCTGACTTTGAATTTATGTGTGGCTGTGTGTTTTCTCAGGGCTCCAAGTGTTTTATACCTTGGGTCAAATTCTTCCCCTGCGGAGGAAGCTCCTTTTTGGAAGTAAATCAGGCACATTTAGAAGCTTTGTTAACTCTTTGGCTCCTGGGGGATTATGGCCAGCATTTTTTCCGTTAGACTTCTGACAGCGAATTCCTGGTTGGGTCATGCTGATCTCTTTGAGCTGACTTCTGTGGTCAGGGTTCTTCCAAATAGGAGTATGCTTCCCCTGCCTAATTTCTGGATTCCATGCCCATCTCAATCTCAATCCCTCCTCCTTCAGGGAAGTTTTTCCTAACTACTCAGTCTGAAAGGACGATTTCTCCTGAGTGCCAGACTTGGAATTCCTGTTGTCTTCAGGAGCTCTCCCCGGCACTCCCCACTTCCCACAGGACCTTTAAACTGTTTTCTTTGTCTGCCCACTTGATCCATGTGGGTAGACATGTTCCATGGCCTTCAGAATAAGATCTTTTGTGGGGCATGCAGTCCATTAAAGAGAAAATCACCTTCATCTTGGATGCTGGTGTTTCTGGCCTGGTGAGAATGAAAGTGTTGAATTGTTTGTAGGGCTCAAAGGTTGCATTGACAATAACTATGAAAAATATATAATACAAAGTCTTTTGTTATTGTTATTATTAAAATAGGAAAGCCTTTACTCTGTTGGAAGGACCGATTTCGATTTTGCAGAGTAATGCAGTCTTTAAAATGTAGTGGTAGTTAAAATAGGCAATCTTTGACTTGTAAAGAGACTAATTTAAATTTTGTTAAATAACCAGCTAAGACTGTAGTTTAAATCCATTTGTGGCTTCTCATTTTCTCTGGAACAAATTCCTAACTCCCTACCATGAAATTCTCTTTCTAGCCTAATTTTTTTGCCGGTTGGTGTCCCAGCTCAAAGGACCTCCCGTTTTCCTGAAACGTGCGGCCCCGGGCCTCCGGTGCTTTGCGAAAGCCATCCCCTCCGGCTGGAATGTTCTTTGTCTCTCTAGTAAATGTCTATTCATCATTCAAGACCACCCTTCCCCCCTCCCCTTAATTACTTCCTCCCCTGTGCGCCCTCAAATTCTTGTACTTATTCAAGCAGTATTTATTAGGGGCCAGCTTTGTGGCCGGCACCATGGCGGGCTCTGGGGATACAAAAGGTGAATAATACTTGGGCTCGGCCTTTGAGGGCCTTGTTCGTTAGGGAGGAGGGGGTCAACCTGCCACAAACGTCGCTAGGAAATTAAAAGGAAAATTTTAAAAAGCGGCAGTTCTTGTCTGTCTTCCCCGGCCCGTGTCTTGCTCTGAGGCCGGGGCTATTTCTCATTTATTTCGCACCCTTGGCTCCTAGTGCGCTGTAGGTGCTAAATCAGTATTTGTTTCATGAGTGTTTTTACGGGGGGCAACCGGAACTCGGCAGAAGCGTACCTGTGTTGTGCCACAGGTTCTGATGGCCCGCTCATAGGCGGTAGTTTCCGCAGTGTCCGTGGGTCTTCCCGGGGTCTGGGTTGGGCGCCCCGCCGGCCAGCGGCGAACCTTTCGGGCTGCAGCGTTGCAGAGCTGCGGAGGTCCTGGGCCAGGTGCGGCCGAAAGGAGGCCTGCAGCGCCCCCTTTGGATGCAGCAGGCACTGGCTGGCCGCTCTGCTCACCCACTCGTACCCCGGGGGCGTTCATCACTATTACAATTTACGGTCAGAAAATGAACACAGACCCTTCGTGATACTCTACATTTTTCAAAGGCGTAAGGGATGCCTTTAAAGGATTATGGATTAGAAAAATTCCTCCCTCTTTCTTGTGCCTCTAGGTGCTTGCAATGTGATTCTATCTTACGTCAATAAAGGGAGTTTTGCTCTCTTAATTGCGCCCACCGTTCTGTGCAGTGCGGACCGGCACATGCAGGGAGCTGGGCTGCGAAGGTGCTGCTGCTGCGGGGCGTCTGGCACGCCGACCATGTCGTGCTGCTGCAAATGAAACATGCCCCCACACCGCGGCGGCTGCTAGAGCTGGAGAAACCGGACTTTGTGCAACTTTGTCCATAATGGTATCCATGAATCTGTTTACTAGTTTGGTGGTCCAGCAGAGCTTGTTGCTCCCTGGCCGCTTGCTTATGCCCTTTGGTGGTTACTTGTAGTTACGGGCTTAGGGGGCCTTGGGCCCTTGTGGCTTGCCGCCTTCCACAGTTCAGCACCCACGCTTCTGACGTGGGATGGGAGCAGGCGCCACGGCTGGCACCCCTGAGCCCTGCTGCCCCTTAGGTCGAGCGGCCATCCTCCTTTGGGGCTTGTGGGCCTCCTATGGGGCTTGTAGGTGGTCTAAGGGAAGTGTTGGGGCTCTCAAGGGTCTGCCGTTTTTGTCAATGGCATTAACTCGCCAGGGGAGGGTTTCTGCAGCAGAATCTCGGGCTCAGGGTTGAGGTTCGCCAGAGATCAGTGGGGTCTTGAGGACCGGGATCTAGTGGTCCCCTTCAAGGCTCGACACCCCTGAAGGGGCCCACTAGAGGAGCCACTGTAAGAGGGGCGCCCCATCTCTGCAGCCGTGGCGGTGGCAGAGTGGCTGGGAGGGGCTCTGCGGCGAGCAGAGGGGCAGGCGATAGGGGTGCTGCGGCGATGGGCGGGCTAGGGGCGGGGCGCGGGTGGGCTCTAAAAGTCGGCGCCCACTCGCTCTGCGCTGCCGCGGCAACCAGCACACCCCGGCACCTCCTCTGCGGCAGCTGCGCCTCGCCAGCGCAGTGCCGCAGCGCACGCCCGAGTGGCTGTAGCTGCCCGGTGTGGCGCCGCCCTGCGCGGGCTGTGGGCTGCGGGCTGCGCCCCAGCTGCCGCCTGGCCCAGCACGGCTGCGGGCGCTGCGGCGCCCCGTGCTCTGCAACGCTGCGGCGGGCGGCATGGGATAACGCGGCCATGGTGCGCCGAGATCGCCTCCGCAGGTGGGTGTGCGGCGGGAACCAGGGGGTGTGGCTGGCCGCCCCGGGACTAGGGTGCAGGCAAGCGGTGGACCGTGTGCCCAAGCCGGGGCTGCCCGGGCGAAAATTCTATCTGCAGGCGACACGCGTTCCGTGCCCGCTCTGCCGACTTGAGGAGGGGGTGTCACTCCTGCATGCAGTTGAGTGTTCAGAATGCAGGTTAGGATTTCTCCTTGGGTTAGGATTTCTAGACCCCGGGATCACCTTGGTGAGATTTAGGATTTATGGACTCCAGCGTCATCTTGACATGAATTAGGGTCCATAATGACCCTGGTCTCACCCTGACGGGAATTGGGATTTTTAGACCCCAGCATTACCTTTGTGCGATTTGGGATTTTTAGATCCTGGCATCACCCTGGCGCGATTTAGGATTTTTATACTCAGTCGTTGTTGTAGCATGATTTAGGATTTCTAAATTACAGCATCGCCGTCGTTCGATTTAGGATTTTTAAAACTCCGGCTTCTCTCTGGTGCGATTTAGGAATTTTAGACCCCGCCGTTGCCGTGGCGCGATTTAGAATTTCTAGATTCCGGCAAAGCCCTGGTGCAATGTAGGATTTTAGACCTCGCCATTGCCGTGGTGCGATTTAGGATTTCTAGACCCCCCCACCCCCGCAAAAGCCCAGGTGCGACGTAGGATTTTAGACCCCGCCGTTGTCGTGGCGCGATTTAGGATTTCTAGATCCCCTCGAAGACCTGGTGTGATGTAGGATTTTTAGAATCCGCTGTTGTTGTGGCGCGATTTAGGATTTCTAGACCTCCCCCAAAAGCCCTGGTGGAATGTAGGATTTTTAGACCTCGCCATTGCCGTGGCGCGACTTAAAGGGTAGACCCCAGCATCGCCCGGGTGCGATTTAGAATTTTTAGAATCCCAATATCTCCATGGCGCACCCTAGGATTTCAAGAACGGGATAATCGCAGTGCCGAGATCGCCGCGGGGCAACTTAGGATTTCGAGACCCAGGTACCGCGGTGGCGGGAGTCACCGCAGAGTGACTAGAAGTCACAGTGCCCGCCAGCCGCCGTAAGTATTTTTCAGATTTCAGTAACAAGCGTGAGTGAGAACGCTGATTTGACCAAACTGTTCTGTGGCTCAGGGATTGTTCGCCTTGGTTTCGCGGGTTTACAAAGTGGTTTATCTCGCGGCGACGCCATCAGGTGGGCGGCAGGTTGGGTGGAATTATTACGCGAGTGCGTTTTTCCTTTTTACAAGATGAAATCAAGGCTCAGAAATTTCCAGAAAGTTTGTTGCTGGAGTTTGCTTATTCTCTCTACTCATGGCTCATCAAATAATTGGGATTTTGGCCAAACAGTATTTGTTTAACCTATTTTACCTACTGACTGCCAGACTGCTTCACTCCTAAAAATCCTAAAAGGTCGTAGGGGCATTTTTACTGAGGTAATAAGACAGAAAACGGCTCCCTGAGAGACTCCCATTTTCCTTTCTTGGAGTAAGAGGAGGAGGGTGTGGAGGGGGGTGTCCGGGAGTAGAGAGTGTTGGTCGGTCGCCTCGTTTTTTAAGCTCCACTTCTCTTAAGTCCCATTTGCTGCTCTGGCCGCCCCTCCCGGGCTCTGCTGAGTCACTGCAGGGATTCAGCTGCTGGAACACGGTTAATGAATGCGATGAGAAGCATAGGGGGAAAGGAGTAATGAAATGCACACATGAAAATATATGTATTGAAGTAGAGGACAGATAGCACTGAGCAGATGACCGTCAAAACCTAATGCTTTTTGTCATCTGACCTTCAGAGGAGATATTGGGGTATACCTTTCTTTGTAGCTTGATATGTATTCCAATATTATTATTATTATTATTATTTTGAGCGCTCTTAGCCTGCTATTGTTGTAGGGTGAAAACAGTGATATAACCATCATGTTCTGGCACTTTTTTGAATCATTTATAGTATTACCTTGAGAAATAGGACCAAACCATTTTATCCATCTTATAGAATGGTGCTTTGGAGAAAAAAAAGAGAAATGACTACTATAATAATGCCTAAAAAGTAGGCTGCGGAGCTGAGAGTCTTTAAGAAACATGGTTATTTTACCACTGTAGAACCACAAGTTTGCTTTTAGAATTTAGGAAAATATCCGGGGCTGGGGCGGGGGGGGGGCGGGGAGGGGAAGTATCTGTTGGGTTGAGGAAGTTAGCGAATGGGTAGATTACAGGCAGTAGAGAAGAGTGTGTCTACAGACAGAAAGCCATTTCACCCAGGGCTTTAGCAATTAATTTATTTTAGCTCTATGACAACTCTAATTTTAGTTTTGGAGGGTATTATTTCTATTCTGGCTGTTTTGAGAGAATTTCCATTCTCCGACAATTCTTGATCCGGCGACCATCAGAAGTCATAGTCTTGAAACAGAACTGTTTCTAATTCCTGTTTGGCGCTCCTTATCAATGTGGATAAACTGACTTGTGCCTTTGAAGTCCTGGACATGGGAGGGTTGGGTGTACCAACTAGTGCTCTTTTTCCAAAGACGAAATCAATTCTCACATGCTGGGTAGGAGTTATGCCTTATTTTGGGGGGTTGGGGGAGCGTCTTATGAAATTAAATAAATGGAAACTTCAAGAGTCTGCTAAGAAAAGCAGAAATATAATCTACTGCCCTGACCTCTCAAGAGATTAGATATTCAGGGTCATGACAAAGCTGCTTATGTTGGAATACACAATGCGGCTATCTTACTTTCACAGACTGTTTACCCTGAGTAGTTTCTCAGCCCAAATCCAGATAGGAGTACTAAATGGGGCTTCAGTTAGGCAGAGGAGGGCTGATAAGCATGTATTAAAAATCAGGAGCAGCTCTCTGCTTGAGGGCATGTGATAAGTTACTACACATACATACTCTTTAAAATATGAGAAATAGCACATATACATATTTTGAACATTTTTCTCGTGGGGGCTAGTGGGTAGATGGTGGAGCTTTTGGAGTAAATAGGAAAGAATTTATTTTTTACTTTGGAAACCTTGATACAAGTCAACAAAACAGTGTCCAGCACTTGTCATTTCCCTTTTATTTAATTAAAGACCTCTTCAGCAGGTATTAGGAAGACCACAAGGGGAGGGGCTGAGGGGTTAAAGTTGGGGAGCAGAGGAAGAGGATTATGTTGAAATACGTATTTTTTTCCCCCTTAAATTAGAAATGGCGAACAAATGTGGTGATTGCTGTAACAGACAGAGGTTCAATTACGGTCTTGGTCAGCTTTGTGCCTATGTGAATGGCAAGTCATCATTGCATGGTAACAGCAATCTCCCACCCCACCTTACTAGGTTTTGGTTTGTAGATGAGTGTACTGTATTACCTGACTGCTTACAGTGGGTCTCTGCTTTTCCTACAGGATGAGGGAGTGGTGGGTCCAGGTGGGGCTGTTGGCTATGCCCCTGCTTGCTGCATACCTGCACATCCCACCCCCTCAGCTCTCCCCTGCCCTGCACTCATGGAAGTCTTCAGGCAAGTTTTTCACTTACAAGGGACTGCGTATCTTCTACCAAGGTAAGAAGTGGACTATTGAAACACATGCGTGTATCGGTCATGTGAGTCTTAGCTAAAGTATTTATTTTGTATCTATTGCTCTCTTCTTGCTCCTTAATGATGGAGGAGAGTCTCGCTCTCTTTTTCTATGTAGTGTACTTGCAGAGAAGCTCAGAAAACTGCTGGGAGAATGGGAATTGGGACTGAGATTCCAGTCTGCAGACCTCACCTTTTAGTATAAGTTATCTTTGTAGCTTGATATATGTTCCGATATTAGTATTTTTTGAGCGCCCTCAGTATCAGGTAATACATAAAATGTTCACAGATATA